TAGAGACCGTCCACGTCAGTCTCGGAAGTCTGTGAAACCCATGTATGACAAGCGGCGGAACAGAGAGACACCCACTGTGTTCCTTCCGTACACAGAATACGAGTCCGCCCCAGGCAACAAGGCTGATGAAACTAACCGTCCGACCACGGGAAGCGTGGAACGGGAAAACTTGGTCCCTCACTGAGTCACTTGCACTTCTGTCCTTCAAAATTGAAACTGAAAATCTCAGTTCCGACCTGGGACTCCACCCCACTTTCCCAAAATCCTTGGCACACCCCTATTACGCACTTCCGGGCCCACTCCCACTCCGAAACAGGAAGTTGCGTTGGGCGTGAGGTTGGGCGTTGTCGGGGCAGAAACCCGGACAAGGTTATCTGTCCGTGGTTTTCAACGTCGGACGCTGTCTGACCTTTTCACTACATTGGAGGACTTGATGAGATTGACGTTGCCAAAGTTTATTCGAACCAGCGCTATGACTGAGAGACTTAAACTTTTTAGAATCTGATGTCGTTGATGTAGAACGACATCGACCCCCGTGCGGGATAGCGGGAGTCGGCACTGTCGTCCACGGGTTTTGACGAGGCCGCAATAGTGTACGGTCATGAGAAACCTAAAGTAAAACCCAGGCTACCTATAATAAGGGGACATGCTCGTCGTTCTCAAACGACGAGCTGCCCCTGCTTTAGGAAAAAAAAAAAAAAAAAAGGAGCTGAAAAAAAAAAGGGGGAGGGAAATGGTCGCGGATCTCATCACGGCCTCGGTCCAGATGCAAGTTTGGAAGCATCTGGACTACGAATTGACCAACAGTCTGCTAAAAAATGGCTGAGTACAGCCATTTATGCACTGCGTCTGACCGCGGGTAACGACCAGATGCATTGCCAGGGTTCAGAACTTGGTTCCCCTCGGGGAACATCAAGTTTCCTGGCCCTCGATCGCGATTCTGATCCAGGGCCAGGCCCTATTCCGGGATTTGGTTGAGGGCAAAGCAACTGCCCTCAGCCTTGCCAGCTATAAAAGCTAGCTTGCCACCCAGCAGCCTCACACTTGTGGCAATGCTGCTGGGGCATTCTACTTCAGTAGATGCTGGCTGGCTGGCTGCTGGTGTAATGAGGCGAAGTGCTGGAGGTCTGCAAGAGCACTGGAGGAAGGAGGAGGCAGCCATAGCTAGAGGCTGGGAGCTTCTTGCCCCACCTCTTGTGTTGTGCTGCAGGCAGTAGGGGAGCCATAACCGTAAGGCTGTTGTTGGATTGGGTCGTACGGCAAGGGTTTTTTTTAGTAGGGGGCCGCGTCGCTGTCCCCTTGGGCGGAAGCGTTGCCGAGATTGTGCGGCGGCAGCGCAGGTTTTCTAAGCGGTACGGCGGAAGCGATGCCGAAATTGTGCGGCGGCAGTGCAGGTTTTCTAAGCGGTACGGCGGAAGCGCTGCCGAAATTGTGCGGCGGCAGCGCTGTCGAAATTGTGCGGCAGCAGCGCCGGTTTTCTTGGCAGAACGGCGAGGGCGCTGCCGAATTTTGTGGAGACAGTGTTTTGCACGGGGCTACGAGAAGGGGAATTGGACGTTGCCTTAGGGACGGTACCGCCGAGGTGGAAGTGCATCTTGAAACTGTGGGGGTGTCGTGCCGCTAGGATGTGGCGATCTTCTCGTTGAGGGCGTTGCGGCACGCGGCACCTGCAGAAATTATTAAGGTTGTTGTTATTTTTTTGTGGCACGTTGAACGACCGGGGTTTGAGTCCGGGGCCGCCAAGTATTGCGGCACGCGTGCAGTGACCTGACTTGGTATTTGGCGGATTGAGGTGACGTTATATTTGGGAGGAAAGTATCGCTGAGACTGTGTGGGATTTCAGAGGGAGGACACTTTGTTCAAACGGTGAGCTCACTTCTGAATTGGTGAGCGACATCTGGGTCAGTGGTGGTACCTAAGGGAGAGTGTGGCTATCCTTGTGAACGGCCGCAACGTGAGTTGTGCGGAAATAGTTGGCTTTCTTGGGTGAACCTTCAAGAAATTTACTCAAGGTCAACTGAATGATTCAGGTACCCCTTCACACCTGTGTGTACCCACACTTTGCTTGACCCTGTTCGTCTGAACGTTCGAAAGAAAGGTAGAGAAAGTTATGTGAGTCATGCATGTGAGTGGGGAGGTCTGACGTGAGTCTGGGATTGCATTGTTTTCTTTTGAACGTGTTTTCTATGCGTGTTGTGCATGTAGGTAGAAGGATGCTTGCAGAGGAGATAGATTATGCCTATTCGGGAAGATGAAAGGATTGTTTTCTTTCTGCCTCTTACCTGCCTGCGTGTCAAAAAGACTTGTTGTTTTGAAAAAGATTATTCAGTGTGTGTCGTAGATGGATCCGGTTGAAATTAAGTAGAATAAGGTCAAACGGACTTACTTTTCCCGAGGATTGACCTATTCTATCCCGAATGACCTTATCTTCCGGTACTTGTTCAAATAATTCTCATTTTCTGTCTCCTCTTAATTTTATTTTATTTTTTGTCTAAGTTACCCTGGATTTAGGAGAAATGAAGAATATATGAAGATCGCTTGCAGTAGACACATCTTCTATCTCTATGAGGTATCTGGAGCGGGGGTTCGTTGCTTTCGGAGCCGACCTTGTAATCGACTCGGAGTGGACCGTTCTACGGGGGGGTACTTGCCGATTCGGTGGAGACGGTCCGACTTCTGAGATCCGAGTCTTGTGCTCGGGCGAGGAGAAGGAGTACCCCATACCACTTTCTAGAGGGAGAGGCATGCAACACTTCAGGCAATGCCCCTGATCAAGAATCAACCGCTAAGTAGTCTGTCACCCGAAGAGATTGGAAACGGATGAAGGCGGGTATGTATGTTGAGTCTCAGGTTGACAGTAGGCTGAAATGGACGACTTTGGCAACCCGTCTCATTAAGTCAAATTAAGGTATCCGACTGTCCTGTCGGCCGCATTTGTATTATCGTCGATGTCCGACTTATTGTTGACAGTTGACGATTGTTTTGTAGTGTTTGACCTGAGATGGTCAAAGGTTGGCTTTCTATGAAGTAAGTATAGGCAAATGTTTTACTTTATTTCTTTTGACTGTGTGTTAAAGGGACTAGGATCATATGTTGGGTTTCACGTTTGGTTGAGACCGTCCTAGTGGACTGACGTTTGTCCGTACCTAGGAGATCAGCGCCCTAGGGGACGGACGACTTTCGGGTCCACTTGGCGTTAACCAAGCGTACCTATACTCCAGCCAGCGAGCAAACGCCCTCGACTGACCTACCTCTACAATTGCATGTAAAAGCTTTCGCACGTGGGTCAGTAGCTCGGTAGGGATACGCCCCTAAGGGTGGTGACAACCCGTTAGGGAAGGTAAGGCGTGCCCCACGAGAACCTATCATGTCGTAGGGGACCGCGGGATGTACAGCTGGCGCACCCGGCTAGAGCGGCGAAGGGACAATACAACCACGTCCGTCTCGGCGGTTCGCGGGATTAATTATGCAACGTCCTAAGTTGTCTCTCGGTTTTGTTTGGTTCTAACTCCTGCCTGACATAGCCGGGAGGGCCCTCGCTCACGCGGGGGCCGATGCGCTCGACAACGTCACAGTAGAGTTTGGAGAGAGTATCTCCCCGGTGACGCCGGGGAAGCTTAGCAAACTTTGCTAACGCACACACACACACACACAGAGAGAGAGAGAGAGAGAGAGAGAGAGAGAGAGAGAGAGAGAGAGAGAGAGAGAGAGAGAAGAAAATGGTACACGTGGAGGAGGCAGCCAACGCCTGGAGGCGGCAGGAAATGATTGGCGTCAAGTTGTGAGGCACTGGACACCTGTTTGGTTGCGCCTTCACGCACGCCTGTTTGGTTGCACCTTCACACACGCCTGTTTGGTTGCGCCTTCACACACGCCTGTTTCATTGTGCCTTCCCGCGTCTTCCAGCATTGACCTCCCTGTTCCGAAAAGAGGGGGTGGCACACTCCCACTGTATACACACCACACTAGACCGTCTACATGCGATAGCTGTAGCTAGTCCGCAAAAAAGCGGTCGACCGGTTCCCCAACAACTTTCACCCCCTTAGAACTCACTCCTGCACCGGTCCCCTGCCACTGAAAATGCGACACCTTGACACGGACGAGGAAGCAAACTTTTGTGCATGTGGTGACTGGTGGAGCGAGGTTGAATATCTGAACTTATGGGGGTATTTTGCAAATTTTTGCCATAGTGTATGCCTTCTTTTAAGAAAATGGAGGACAATTATCGGTGGTGTGACAGGCCCGTTCACCACCCTAGGGAAACCATTGCCGGCGACTCTGTTTTTTCCGGGAAGTTCCCGTACACGGAGAAATCCGAACCAGCCACCAACTGCCCGCCCATATACGGGAGGCACTATGGCACATGGCACACGGCACATGGCAGAGGAAGTCGAATCGTCCTATTCAATGAGGGGCCCAATCTTGTAGCTGAACCTTGGGCGTCGCTCCACTACTCTCGAAATGCACAAAAAAGCCAAAACTCATGGCGGTGTATCTTTCAGTGTTCTAGCGGGAGATTCGCTCCCGTTTCGCACATTTCGAGAGAAGTGGAGCTAGGCCCCTTTTCTGCTCTCGCGCTACCCTGAAAAGGAAAGTATACGAGGCATGTTTCCGGCCAGATACAGTCAGAATGAGGGTGCGTTGTGTTCGGGGTAGGACGGTAGGAGTCACAGCACTTACCGCCAAAGAGAACATTACCGCCGAAGGCCATATTTTTGTCGGGCCGGACCGTTAGTGCACATGGCGGGGAGGAGACCGCTACAGTTGAACGGCAGCTGAGCGACAGTCGACCGCCGCGACCAGAGGCAGCAGTGGCCAGCCCAGACAAATGCCGCGACAGAAAAGCGACACAGTACGACAGAGTGCGACAAAGTCCGTCAGAGTGAGCCAGAGTGCGTCGAGGGGTGTCACGGGCATCTGTACGGGCTTACATCTGCCGAGGGCCAAATGACAAGGGGATCGACGGTGGTCGTTGAAGCTTCGTCTAGTAGGGCGACGGTTTCGAGAGGCGGACATAGAACGCAGCTAAAAGAGAAGCGCACAGGGAATAGGGAGTGGAAGAGAACAGAGCGAGGAAGGCAGGCAATGGTGGAAGAGAACTGACAGACGAACGCGGAGTAAGGACCGTTTTTCGTGGTCCTTTGTGCTCACTCATCGGTACAGACCTGATTGTCGTCAGCGTCAGCGTCTTTCTCGAGTTCCTCTTAATTGACTGTTGTAGGTAAGTCCCTCACGTGTTTCTCTTTCCTCTCGCTATGCTTTGTGTCCTTGGCGGTAGGCCCGTAGCCATTCCAGGACCTTTGTCTCCTCCCCAGAATGCTTGAACTTGCGAACACCATGAGGCTCAGCGTGCGTTGTCTCTGCATATACCATAATCGTGCTTCATCTCTGCACTTTCTCTCTCCTGCGCCCTGCCTTCTTGCATACTTCGCGTGACGTTGACTCTTGTGTTGCCTTCGTTCCGGATGAAATGAACCCTTTTGTGTCCCCTTGTGTTTCCTCCCTCTTAACGTCCTGGTCTTCATATTTGCGAGGTTGCTTGCTATCTGCCTCCCTCGCTGAACCCAATCCTCTTTCGAAGTCAGCCTCTTTCCTTCTTCATTCCTCCACACTTTACCTCGTCTCTCTCACTTCCCCTCCCCCTCAGCCCCCCTAACTCTCTCTGCCTGTCTCTCCGTTAATACATATATATACACATATATTCACAGCCTTCTTTCACGTATGACGACTGGTTCCCCATCCTGTTTCGATCGTCTTATTTGTTATGGTCATGAGTGACAGTTCTCTGGTGGCAGTCTTTTGCCATGCCGAGTCGTTGCGGTAGTGTCATTACTTTTCCTTCCACCCCTACTATGTATCTCTCTCTACACTCAGTGGGTAGGTAAGTGAGGAGCCGGAAGACTGGTCTGGGGCACGCCCCTTGATGAGACGGGAGCGCAGTCGGTCAAAACTCCTTCCGCCCGTAGTGTTTACATGCGCGCTACGCTGGACTTTGGACATTATGTGCTGGAATGAAATTGCTTTGTGCTTGTTCGAGAGCCTGTCTGGCCATTTCTTGTCATTCTTCTTTTCCTACCGGACTTCTCGTCTTTACCTGCCAAGGTCGATTTTGTCACCGTGATCTCCGTCCTCATATGGCCATCTTTCCTGTCTCTCTGACTGCTGTGGCGCGAACAATGGAATCCCTCTCTGTCGCTCTCTGTTTGTCTGTTGGCGTTCTCTCTGTCGTTTTGCCGTTTTTGTTTTCTCATCCGTTCAAAATTGGAACGTTACAGAATAGATTAGAGCATGGCCCCTGCGCAAGGAGGACAGGCATACGTCGAGAAAGCGTTTTGCCATGTTGTCCTCCCCTAGTATCTCTCTCTACTTGCTTTTCGTTATCTATCAGCAGGTCTTCGTTTTCGGGTCGTACCATGCTACGCCACCAAGATCGCTGCCCGTTCCATTGCTATCCTTATCTTCATTTCCCTGCCACGAGTCCCTTTTGCTCTCTACTCTACGGCACGTCCTACGCTTTCCCTTCTGTTCCTCCTCGTTTCCATTGTCGTTTTCCCCATATTCGTCATCATTTGTCATGGCCTGCTGCCTACCGTCTTCCATCAAACTCAGAGGCACCCTGGTCATGGTCACTTTCGTTCTCTACTCTATGGCACGCTCTACTCTTGTTTTTTTTTTTTTTTTTTGGCACGCTCTACTCTTGGGTCCTCTTACCTTTCGTTTTCATTGTCATTTCCGCCATCTTCGTCATCATTTGTCACATGGCCTGCCGCCTACCCTCTTCCCTGGAACACAGCGCACCCTGATTGTGGTCCTTGTCGACTCCTGGGGCATCGCTGCACTACTCTCGAAATGTGCAAAGCGCAGAGTGAATCTTCCGCTAGAATATGGAAAGATGCACGGCCATGATTATTGTCTTTTGTGCATGTCGAGAGTAGTGCAGCGAGCCCCATGGTTTCTGTTCCCTCTCGTTCGTTGTTCCTTTTCCTCATCTTCGTTATTTAGTAGCATTTGTCCTGGCCTGCCGCCTACCGTGTTTCCTCGAACACAGCGCATCCTGGTCATGAATGTATGCAAGCTATCTTTTCGCTCCGATAGCACTCGATCAGTGTGTTTTGTGTTCGGGAGGAGAGGCGACGGAAAACAATTCTGTTGTCTTCCCTTCTTTCACCTCGTTTTTATCGCTTGCGGCGCAGTCCGCTCTCTCGTTCAGTTGGTCATCAAATTTTGCTGTATCAAAGCGCGTACCTGTCAGTTCGCAAGGTTGAACTCTACTCTCTACTCTCTCTCTCTCTCTCTATCACTGTGCTTCTCTACTTGGCCCCCGCTTGTGTAGATGTCCTCTACCCTTCAGAATCGCGACTTTTGTTACCATTGCGACGGCGTGCAGGCCGGTGTTTCCGATTCCTCTCTCGCTCCCGCTCATTTGCCATACCTTCGCTCCCCTCTGTTCCTGTTGTTCGTTTCTCGCAGTGGCCGGGGGGGGATTGTCGTGATTAATGTAGAAGGGATGGAATTGGCACTCTACTAATTTTCCCTCTCTGTCTCCCTCTACTGAGCACCCGTTTGTTCTGAAAGTGTTCCAGTGAATCTTATTGCTTGTCGAAGTGATGGATGCACCGATGGTCACAGCTTCTATCGCGTGGTTTTCTCACAGCAGCTCTGGGCTCGTATGGCGCAGGAGAAGAAGTTTATGGGCTACGGACAGATTTGTTGCTCATTCGGGTGTATGGAAGGGGGAAGAGGAGGGGGGGGGGGAAGGCGGAGGCGGAGGCGAAGGTCGGGGTGGAGGGGGGTTAAAAGTTGCGAGATTGTACCGCATGGGAGAGAGAGAGAGGCAATATACGTGTAGATGAAATAACTCCCATCTGTTCAGTAGTCGAAATATTTCCGGCAGCTGGTTGGTGGGAACGAGAAGTATGGGATATGTTTGGTGTGTATTTTTCCAACCATCCTGATTTACGTCGTATATTAAGTCTTATGTGGGAGAGAGAG